TCAATAAAAAGGAAACCCAACTTTGAAGAACCAGTATGGAGAGACTAAATGTTTACTGGCTATAAAACTGGTATCATCTGAAAGCGTAATCTCGTATGGCCATATTCAATGATACCTTGTTTACATTTCCAGGGTCATGCATCACTGAGCGCCACTGTCATGAGATTTGGATGCAAAATTGCAGTTGGTTCACTTTCATGTCAAACACCCTTTTTTTGGAACACCCTGTATATACCAAAATTTATAAAAGGAGGCCATAAGTTTAGCCAGCGTTCGAATCCAAGAGCTTTATAAGAAATCGCCCAAAACCAATGATGAAACAGTGAATTAGAAAATGTGTTTAAAATCTGGCTCCTGGATAGTATTTTGTGTGTTCTAGAACCATGAGGTGGGAGTCTGTCACACGTTGTATATTTGTCATGTTTGTACATGACTACTATTCGCAAAGTAAAGTGAGCATAAATTTTGCACCGCATTGCAAATACTTTTCGCAAAGTTGCGCTTTTATTATGGACTCGAGTCTTATTAGCCTTCGCTCGAGTCGAGTCGAGTCTTCTGATGAGGGACTTGAGCCGAGTCGAGTCATTTGGTCGCAGTGACTCGAGTCGAGTCGAGTCATTTACCCTTAGGGACTCGAGTCGAGTCACCAAAAATTGTGTCTCGAGTCAGACACGAGTCGAGTCATTGACTCGAGTCATTACAACTCAGTGTTTTGAAAATTGTGTGTGAAAACAATCTTGGGAAAGTTTCCAAAATTCTGCCAACATCTGGTGCTGAAATAACTAAATAACTGTAACATTGAGGCTTTAAAGGCACCAAAAAATAACCTTGAAAATATGGCAAAATGAAAAGTAGGGTTAAATGGGACACAATTGGTGCACTTTCAAGGATTGCATTGAAAAATTGTATACATTATATGGCGCTGGTTTTGAAGTTGGTGACATGTAAACCAAGGCATTTATGGTGCAGTACGTGGGTTGATCTGACAACAGTTGCATTTCGTCAGACTCGCCTTTATTTTACCTACAAATTTCCCTCAAATAATTAAAACCTTGCTCTTTTCACCACATTCCTGTAATTTGTCAACATAGCCAGCTATTACATCGACAGGGTGAGTCAGAAAGATGGGTACCCAATTTAAAAAAAAATAGTAAATATATTTTTTGAAGATGGCCGTTGAAAATAATACATCTCTGGAAACCCCTGTAAATAGCTGTCATCTGGTGACATCCATGGGCAACACAATATGACAAAGTTTCTGAAAGTTACAACATTTCTGAAAAAATAGGGGAAAACAATGATATATCCACGGGATACCCAATATGCAAAGATGTGTTGGTTTACAGGCTAGATGTGAATGACAAACACACATAAATGGTAAAGAGGGATGACAAAACGAGACGGAAATGGTTTTAGAAAGTGTTTTCATGTCAAATGTTTGTAATCTATCAGCTCTGCAATAATCAGAAATGGAAAGGATTGACTCAATAATCCCATTACAAACCGTTATTTCGTTTTACCGTTTTCGATTTTCTCAAAAACAAACACAGTGAACGAACCATTGACAGTTTTGTCGTTTTACAGTTTTGTTAAACGGTCAAACGGTATTAAGTCACCAAAAAACTATGACCTTTTTGTTATTTTTTTAAATTGTAAAAAGCGATAAACATTAAACGTTTAGTTGCTTTATTTTTAGAGTGTTGTTTTACAAAAACATGACAATGACAAAACGGTCAATAGTCTTGTCGACCATTTTTGGATTCAGGTTTGGCAATTAAACAATGCACCTTGGAATGTTAATGTGTCGACCTTGTGATCAATTCACTGCCTGGGAAGTTGCCCTTCTTACAATTATGTCATTTTCATGACAGAATTTGCAAATATTGGCTATTGAAGAGCCGCGCCAAACTCCAATTTCCTTCAAAATATCTGCAATTTCTTCATACGTCTTACCACCCTGTATCCATTCTGAAATTTCCTCCTTGAAATTTTCCAGCGCCATTTTTGCTCGCAACTCTTTAAGCCCCACCAATTAATCTCAGGAGATGGGGGTCAGGGTCACGCCAGGAATTACACCACGCATTAATTATGCCGAGGTAACACTTCTTCATGCACGGCATGGTCCCCCTCCACCCTCCTCCCCCTTGCCCACCGCCACAAAATGCACCACAGACTGTTAACTATGACACTGAAATAAAAAATAAAAACAGTCTAGCTGTATTCAATACTGACCGTTTTGCTGTTTTTCAAAGTTATTTGTGTAAAACTGAAAAACAAAAATTATTGATCGTTATGCTGTAATGAATTTTACTAAACTGCAAAACGAAATAACCGTATTTATCTTAAAACCATTTGGACGTTTTACAAAATCGTAGAACGACATAATGGTCAATGGTTCGTTTACTGTTTTTGTTTTTGAGGAAATACAAAACGGTAAAACGAAATAACGATATGTCCCGGGATTCTCAATCATGTGTAAGGTGTGAAGTGCACAGATGTGTTTTAGCCTGATTCAATGATCCGTGGACAAACTGATTTTCATGTATGTTGGGAAAAAACTCTATCTCCCGAACCACAAAGGCAAAATTGATGAAACAAACATGAGGTGATCTTTGCTAAAACCTTGTAGTTTGTGTTTCTTTCTTTAAATTGCTTCATATTTGGGTACAACTATAGAATGCAGGGCCACTTTACTCTACATCCGCGCCTCCGTACGGCTGCGTGGAGGCGTGGAACCGCAGTCGACCTACCTCTGAAAATCGATCGTGGAGTCGTGGAGCCGCAGAAAATTGCGCCCTCTATCGGTGCGCGTCTCTGCGACTCCGCGACTCCGCGCCTCCACCACGGCGAGACAGTGCCCCGTCGCCCTCCCCCCCCCCCCCTTCCTAATTTGCGCGCCCAATTAAAGTGACTCTGCGACTCCCCGACTCCGCGCCTCCGCGACTCCAGACAGTGCCCCGTCGGTAACCGCCCCGTCGCCCTCCTCCCTTCCTAATTGGCCCGCCCATTTAAAATGGATATGGATGCTTCGTTCTCAAAAAGATTCCGCCGAGAATTGCGCCCTCTATCGGTACGCGTCTCTGCGACTCCGCGACTCCGCGCCTCCGCGCCTCCGCCACTCCAGTGCCCCGCGTCTCCGCGATTCTGCGACTCCAAGACTCCGCGCCTCCGCCGCTTCAGACAGTGCCCCCAACACATTTACAAGCATGAGAAGCTTTGAAGACAAGTGCAGTGCATTCCTTCGCTGTACTTAGCAATTTTTTGCAGGTTTGCATATCTATTACTCCTATTCCATCCACGCCTCCAGGCAAAATAAAAAAACCTTGCTTCGGCGTGGCCCTGCATTCTATAGTTGCTCCCATATTTGTCTTTAAATTGACGAGAAAAAAAAACAATCTGTATACATGGTACTCATCTTTTTGAATCACCCTGTACAGCTTACAGTTCTCTAACAGTGCTTGGGCCCTAGCGCTGACGTACACATTTACTCTCAGCTGAGTGTTGTGCCCCAACCGGCACAAAGTTATGGGAAATTTCCTAACGGGGAAATTAGGACTGAGTTATGGGGACTTCAATTCTGCTCTCCGTATAGTGTCTTCAGTTCCCATAATAGCTATCGCTCAGCAGGTGTGTGGTCCCCACAGTTACGGAACAAGATTGCCGTATGTGTGGAGTGTTCAGTGTGGGGTTGATGTACAGAGGGAAACGTTACAATGCTAGTACTTTTATTGCAACTTTTATAAGGTACAGCTAGGCAGGCATGGATCAATTGGGGTGGGGGGGGGGGGGGGTTTGAGCGTAAAAACTCCCCCCCCCACTCACACCAAAAAACAAAAACAACTTGACTAATAATATTTACCTATATGTCCGCCTGTGCGCAACACTCGAACACAGAGGCATAGCCAGCGGGGGTAAGGGGGGTATTTGTACACTATTGTGTGATATAGTGTGCCTGCTTGTCTGAATTGAACAGCACCCCCATTGGAAGAATGGTACCAGCCCCCGGAGTGTCCGGAGGAAAAAACCTGTCTACATTTCAGCACTGATTTACTGATGTAAACAAATCTCCCCCCCCCCCTCCCCCCCCCCCCCCCCCCCCGCAAAAATTCCTGGATCCGCCCATAACAGGTCTGTATTTTTATGCCCCGCCGGTGAACAGTTGTAAACACAATTCAGCCTTTGTAAAACGGTACCCCAGAAGAGAAATTCTAAACTACTTTTCTTGTTTTTACTTGAGTTTGCAAATGATTCAAACACAGCTACCGGTTTTCATCCCTGCTTATAACTCCATGGTTAAAATTTGATTGAATATCTAATTTTTGTTCTTTCCATTTTTATTCAGTGCAGGTTTGAGCTGTGCTTTCTAGTGAACCAAAATGCTCCCCAGCTGCAAAACAGGGCTTCTCATCTTAAACTTCGCCGATAAACCAACTCATCAAACGAATAATGCAGTCCCATACTGTGCCATGCCGCCAGCTGCATATTGGGAACACTCTACGTACAGCTGCATCCCGGCCTTGACCACGAACGGGAACCGTACAAACAGAGACCGATTCCCGTTACGCAAGATGTCTGCACAGCCATCACTGCAATCTACGCAAAGTCGGCACAGCTACAAGGGCAAGATGTCAGAGTACTCGTAAACAATAGTAACCGGTCTGGCACCTTGCCTACCACTAGAATTCTCAAAGGAGAAGTTGGTCTGGTACTGACTGACTGCTCCTCTCCAAACAAACTCCAAGCGTTACTCAAGTCGTGGTTTGTATTCCCAACAAATCCTGTTGTGGAAATCATACCAGAGTCTGTCTGGTTGAATGTCAACAGTTCTGCACCGATGGATGCTGATGCTAAGCCTAACGAAGTAGACTGTTCGCCGGTAAGAGTTACGGAAGTGTGGTTCTTAAGGGGGAACGTTCGATCGCATTCACACTGGACATAAAATCCTGCTGAGTGAGTCGGCTATCAGAGCAGAAGAGAAGATTACAGTTGGTGTGACAGACATCCATGCTGCAACGTAAGAACGCATCAAATCAAGTATTCATGTAACACAACCCTTATTACATTCTTTCTTTTCACTTAGGCCAAGTTCGTGCAAGGACTATAGTTGACCAATGGTTAACTAACGTTTGCCATCGACGGTGGTTGACTACGCTAGTCGACTATTTGGAACCAGCCTACTGAGCTGGTTGCATCGCTGGTAACCAATAGTTGCGCGCATTCATAACGCTAGCAGAGAGCCAGGATCCAGAAGTTTTGCGATGACATTTTGACCAGCGTTTGACTGGAGACGTTCGTATGTTGCCATCAGTGTGCAGGTGTAGGGTACGTCACAAATCAACCACTAGTCGACTAATGGTCCTTGCCCGAACTTGGCCTTAGTTGAGAGTGGGTCATACATGTATGGTGTTCAGTATGTTTGTGAGTGCAGTGGTCAGAATAATTTCATGAGGTGACAGATGGAGTGTTCCATTCAAAGAGACGAAACCAAGTAGAATGGAACTTTCCATCTGTCACTGAATAAAATTAGTTCCATTGCATGAATGCGAATCATTCATTACCGTATGTGTTTTATGCAATACCTGAATAAATCCTCATCAGTCAGAGATGCCAAAACTGTAACCGTGCAATGAAATTTGAATTTATTGTGGCATGGAACTTCTATTTTTTTGCCGTGTGGCCATGCCATTGGGAGGAATAATTCAATGACACGTGATCAATGACCCACTTATCAGTATATATCTTGCAATCCCTGAATAAATCCCCCTCATCTGATGGGTGGGTCATTGAATTATTTGTCCCAACCCACAGCCGAGTCGCACGTCAAAAACAGAGTTCATTCAAAGATAAAATAGAATTTCCTTTGCACGGTCACATGCACTATTGGCTACCAATCAGATGACAAGCAATTTATTCAGGCGTTGTATACAACAAGTAATGAATGCTTCACGTTCGGCAATGGATGGAATATTCTATTCCACTCAGCTTTGCCTTGTGGAGTGGAACATTCCATCTGTCACCTCATGAAATTATTCTGAGCATTGCACTCACTCATAAACATTAATTAATGTGTTGGGGTGACAAAGCAGAAACATATTGTCTGTAAACCCCTTGAATGGGCGAGCATAGACGTTGACACGACGCACCCGTGCGCATGGTTACTATAATTCCTCGGTTGAGTGCGTGACATTGCGTAGCTGCAGTCGGCTGAATGAGAACATGTCCCGGACGCTGATTTTCAGCGCAGTTCAAAACATGACTCAGCAACTTTTGGATTGAAATGGAGATCCTAGAATATTATTTCTCGAAATATACAGCATTCACTGAGCTAAAACTTCATCAGGTTAGTCGTTAAGCACCCTTCTTTAGATTTTGAGCACTTTTGTTGCTTCAAACGAAAAAAAAATACACAAGTGACAAATGATATGTACTACCGGTACTTTCAAATCATTGAAGCAATACCAATCAGAAAAAGCAAAAAGAGATGCAAATGCACCCCATCCCTCCCCCAAAAAAGTGAAATCATACAAGGGAACAAAGGTGAAGAAAACTTGGACTGTTATTTATATGTTCCCTCCCCCCCCCCCCCACACACTTTTTGATTTTACAAAGGCCGGGTGTCCGTTGGAAAACAAATCCTGTCTACCCTTCAGTACAGATTAAATTGGGCGTCCCTTCACTGTAACATCAAGCCAAGCCCCCCCCCCCCCCCCCAGGATGAAAACACTGGCTACGCCGCTGACTATTATCAGGCTTTGAAAATCCCTTTTTAAAATTTTGCATTCAGGGTCTGTGTGTACTAGACGTACATGAGATATCTCTAGTAGAGGACATCAATCATGCTGCACATGAAGAAGCCAAGATAAGTTCCTCAACACAAAGGATTGGACTCCTGGGAACACTGCTCAAGCAACCCACGGTGAGTAATGCAGTGTTGCATTCATGTTGCATTCAGGGTCTGTGTGTACTTAGACGTACATGAGATATCTCTAGTAGAGGACATCAATCATGCTGCACATGAAGAAGCCAAGATAAGTTCCTCAACACAAAGGCTTGGACTCCTGGGAACACTACTCAAGCAACCCACGGTGAGTAATGCAGTGTTGCATTCATGTTGCATTCAGGGTCTGTGTGTACTAGACGTATTGAGATATCTCTAGTAGAGGACAACAATCATGCTGCACATGAAGAAGCCAAGATAAGTTCCTCAACACAAAGGATTGGACTCCTGGGAAAACTGCTCAAGCAACCCACGGTGAGTAATGCAGTGTTGCATTCATGTTGCATTCAGGGTCTCTGTGTACTAGACGTACATGAGATATCTATTGTAGAGGACATCAATCATGCTGCACATGAAGAAGCCAAGATAAGTTCCTCAACACAAAGGATTGGACTCCTGGGAACACTGCTCAAGCAACCCGGAGTAAGTTTTTAGGCCCAAAGGTTGACCCTTTTTGTAAAGTGCTTTGCTCTGCTTACCAAGGAATAGGCGTGATTCACCACAAAGAGTCATTTTACTCAGTTCAAATATGGTTTATTAATTAAAAATCCACATTTTGCAGCATGACACTGAATTACAGATGTACCCACAAACATAAAAACCTTAATAACTTATTAACTAAAAAAAAAAGTATGGAGAATCTTCAATTGCATATGTGAGTATACTGAAACCACCAGATTATTGACACAACCTATGATATTACAAAACTGTTTGATAAACTGATATTCCGAAAAAGATATGCATACATTACAAAAAGTATAAAATTGAAGAAAAACAAGTCGCGCTTAATCAATGACTGTTTCATGTTCTGATGTGTGCCCCGCACCAAAAACCCACACCGTCAGACGGTGCGGGGCACAGACTACATGAAACAGCTATTGAGTAAGCGCAACTTGTTTTTCTTCAATAGTGACGTCACATACGCGCGCAATGAATTATGCATCAGTCATGTCAGTGAAATAGACAGTGCAACTCGGCAGACACATTTAATTGTGAGCGGTAAGTTCAGACTATTTTGTTCTTTTTTCAAAATTACCGGTTGTTTGGAACAATTTGAGGGGTCATATGAAATGTCATGAATGTGTCGATCTATCCAGGGTTACTGTCTTTCTCATTCGTCTTTTCTTTATCAGTTTTTTTGGGCCTTGTCCTTGCGAGGGCATGCACAAAATGCATACCGTCATGACGACCGTGTACCTGTCACCAAAGTATGGCAAATCGGTGGAACGTTTGTGTGGAGGGGTACCCGTAATTCAACGCTCCACTCAGTAGAGCTACTTCCAGGCATGCCATGCCCCTAGCCGGTTTAAAACTTGCAGCCAAGCACAAAGAAATTCCCACTCATAAATACCTTTTGGTCGAAAAGTCAGAACAAGTCCAAATTTCACAAATTTCCAACGACCTTGTTTCAGCAGTTCAATTCATGTTTGGTGAAATCTGGCCATGTCTACGTCTATATATGTACATGTCTCGTGGCCGCAGTGCTAAGAATCTCCAATGGAAATTGGCGCGCTCGCAATCGGCACGTACTGCACGATGTGGTGCAGAACACAGGAAGGAGTTTCAAACCAGTCAGTGTTTTATCAGTGGCTTAAAACCGCCCATTTTACGGGCTCTTGACCAATAAGAATGGGTAAACTGTCTCAGGTATTTATGAATTATTATGAGCTAGGAGCAGTAAGCTTTCCATTGATATCTTGGAAGCATTCCTCTGGTCATGCATCACCAAGTTCCATTGATTTGAAAATGGTACATGTGCAAACCCTCTTGGGACAGTTTTGGGTATTAAGGGGCACATCAGCGTTAGGCCAAAAAAAATTAAGTCTTCGGTTTCTGGTATGGAGCGTGCCCAAAAAGTGGTGCGGCGACGCGGTTTTTTTTTTTTTTAACCTGATTTTTTTGCCTCAAATGTCGGCTGATGACTGCAAATGGTGCCATACTTGACTTAGTGCAAATATATGGGAGTCCAGAGAGGCCACATAAAACTTATTCTCGATCATAACCCCATCTAAAAACACTTTAAAATTGTGCAGCAGCAAGATTCCAGTCAACCAGTGAGTTTGGCGGTTTTGAGACATCATCTTTCATTGAAAAAAAAACTTTTTCATTTTGCCGACGTGCATGGCTACAGCGAAGCGTGCGCATACCAGAAACCGGAGACTTTTTTTTTTTGGCCTTAGTTTGTGAAAACGAAAATGTATGGATTGCACGCATCCAGTGCCACACTGTGCCGGCTGTTGCATCGTGAAAACGAAAATAACGTGGTTCTGTAAAATACGCGTGCGTGCTAGGCACCCACGCACAACTGAGGGTTACTTCTTGGTTTCTGTAACGAATTGTCCACCTCATGCTAAATGCTGATCTGCAACACTGAACACTGGCAGTATTGTGTATATAGAGTTGATTTGTTAGTAAAATATGAAGATTATGAAAGTAAAGGGCCTTTTGATCCGTAATTTTTTTAGCAGCTATTGTAAATGCTCAATCTATTGAAGATCAAAACACCCTTACCAGTTTGCTTAGCCTACTGATACCTGTGTTTCAACTTGGGTGATCCAGTTGGGCAGGCCCAACTTGGGCAGCAACCTTATTCCCATGATTTTGTCGAGCAAAACGATGATAAAAGTAAAAGTAGGCCCTTTGGGATGAGGTTTGGTGGGACTGGGGGGGTTAGGATGCTTAGTCCTCCCATCCGGATGGGAGGACTAAGGGCACACGCTCAGGCCGGGCCTGGGAGCTCAGAGGCAGCTCAAACATGTCTGTTTATAGCAACTTCCAGGGTAGCCTTGTAGAAAATGGCTCAGTTTGTCTGATGACACTTTGCAGCACATGGCAGTGGATGTGCTCATCATTGTACACTCGTTTGTAAATGGCGCCCTCTAACATCCAAGTATGAGTAGCAGTGCCCAACCCAAGTTAGGCCTGCCCATTGCAACTAGAATGATCTAGTTTGGCTCAAGTTGGGACAGTCTCAACATAAGCTGGGTGCGACAACCGAGTTGGGGTATAACACATGACATGTATGAGGATTCTTGAAATCAATTTGTGGTCTAATCTCTTAATTGTTTCCAAATCGACAAAAGTGTGAAAAGTGAGGACCAACATTATCTTTCTTGTTTGATAGGCTGTACGATAATTCACAATGGAAACATTCCCATATCTTTTGTTCATTTTTACCAGAATCTTGCATCTAATTGTCCTGTGGATTTGTTGTTTTTATCATTCCAGCTTGTGACATACCTGGAGGTCCTGTTGGAGGTCAAACAAAGGTCACCCTTCAAAACTAACACTTGCAATTCATCGCTACATGGTGAGTACCATCAATACTTGAGAAATTCAAGGCATTATTTGAAGTAATGAATTTGAAGTACAATGTGTGAGTGAAATTGATTTAATTGTTCTGAACAAGTTGACTCCCAGGGTTGTATGGTATCGGAATTTTTGATTTATTGATACATACCGGTATAACTTCAATATCGATTATGTTCAATATATCGAATATTTGCAAAATACGTTGCAATTTCTTACCATGCAATCGCGGATCAGGTGCTTCTGAAAAAATTCCTTGATGAAGTATTTTTTAAGTGGACAAATTGTTTCAACGAACATGCTTCTCAGCAGCTCTTCCACCACAAAAAAAGATTGGTTTGTTTACTTCAAATGAAAGGTTTGTTTACTTGAAACTCAGTTTTCTGACGAGACTTGCAAGCTTTCCTTTGCCTAGGTGAAAGCATGCACTGTACCAGTACATGCAGGATGTATGGTTCCTGCCACTGTAAAGATAATAGCCAATGCTGGAAGAAGTAGGAGCAGTTTACAGCACTGAACATAAAGTCAAATCTCTACATCATAAAAAGGTCATGAAAACATCTTTAGAAAACAAGTTTATGTGTGATCATTCACAAAGCTTGATCTCACTTTGCTGGGTTTTTCTTTTCTGGTTTTGTCTTTGTATATAAGTTACAAATCCAGGCCTGCCTGCACTCATTTGAAACAGCAAGTGATCTGAAAAGAGGACTCCCTAGTCATCAATATTACGAAAAGTGATGACACATATATTTTACGTACACCATATTACTTAACACACGTGGCTCAGCGAGAGACGTAATGTCACACATGCACACATTTTGCGTTGCACTGCACGTGATCTCTTCACAAGCTACACATGCTCAACTCAACTCAGCTGAACTCAGTAAATGTCGCTTTGGACCACATTCTTGCACTAGGGGTGTCAGTCATTGTTTGGACATTTGCTTACTTGTCGTACGATGGAAATTACAATTATTAGGAAAAACAGTTTTTCTTTTATACTATACTTTTGAAAAAGTTGAACAAAGAAATTGACTTGAGCAGGGTTTAAACCTGCGATATCCAGATAACCATTCCTGGGTCTGTTTCATGACTTGATGTGATCCCTGGCTACGACCGGTTTATGGCTTCTGACTAGCGCCCCTTGAACAAAGATGTTGACAAATTGGGGCACCGCCAACATAGGGCTGGATAGCTCAGTTGGTAGAGCACCGGAATAATTATTCGGAGGTCGTGGGTTCAAGCCACACTCCAGTCAGTTTCTTTGTCCAACTTTTCAAAAATTGTTATAATTCCCCTAGTCAGTTTATCTTTGTATCTTTGTTTTTCAAAAAACGATTTTTAAATAGTTGAATGGAATTTACATATTTGCTTAAACTATGCTCTTGAGCCATGCCAATTAGTCAATTAGCCGCCCTCCCCCCCCACCCCCCCCCCCCCCCCAAAAAAAACCTCTGAACTGTCCACACAACCAAAATGGTAATGACTTCAGACATGTCAGATGTGGATAAAGTTCCAATAACCATACCGGTATGTTTCAATTAACTGTGTACCAGTATGTAGTTTAAAGGGAATGTACATCATTGGCTTTTGCTGTAATTTTCAGAAATGAACTAATTGAGGAGTTAGTATAATGGATCAAATATTGTTACACTGACATATTTGAAGTTTTTTGTTCAAAAATGCTGGGGAAAAAAGAACAAAAACAGAAACGTTAAAGTAGTCTGGTTCCCTGACTCCACTAAAGATGAAATGGATCAATTTATAGATGCCGGAAAA